TTCAGCTCCAAATTCCTTCCCTTGGATCAGCCCGGCCTGCCAGCCCGACGGCCCCAGAATCTGGGAAACGCCCTACTTCTTTATTGTCGGCAATTGTCGCCGAGGCACGCACTGCTCCGTGCGGCGTCATGTTGCATTCCAGACGTGACCATCACGGCGGGGGGGGACCGACGTCGGCACCTTTCATTATTACAGTATCCAATACAGCACCGTCATGATGGACATGATTATAAAATCAAAAAAAAAGTAAACTCGCTTTCATCTCCTCTCATGCATCCGGTCCGGGCCTCCGTCCCATGCATCCAATGCAATCGCTTATCAATCCAAGAAGACGTCCTTTTCCCACTCGGCCGGACACAGGTCATCCCACGTCAGGCTCTTGCCCGTATCCGTGTCGACGCCGCCGACACGCTTGCGCTCACTCTCGTCCTTCGCCTGTGCACGCCGCGCATCGAACAGCTGCCGTGCATGGCCTGTCCACCACATGGAGGGCCACAGGGTGTCGATGGGCTTCTTATTGACCCAGTTGTGGTGTGCGACAACGGGGATGACGCCGTTGCAGACCTCGCTGTAGAGCGGTAGCGGTTCCCAGCGGGGGCGGCCCTGTTCGGCAAAGAGTTCGAGACCGCCAGCGTTGTCGACGAGGTCGCTCGGCATGGGCGCACGGGGGCTGCAAATAATCTTCTGTCCATGGGCAGGCTTGTCCACCTGTGGGCCGAGAGGGGCGCTGTGGTTGACAAACGTCGTGTCATGGAGGGCGTTGGATGTCTGGTGCGAGACCTCAGAGAAGTGGTCCACCATGATGCCAAACTCGTAGCGCTGATCGACGTGGTAGTCCGGATCGCTCATGAGCTGGTGGTCAAACGAGGGGTTGAGAGGGTCGTCGATGAGGAGCGTCTCAATCTTGTGTGGCCTGCGAGGGGCACCGGGGCGCGTAGGCACCATGCCGTCGAGGAAGCGGTCCCAGGCGTTGCGGTGGTGGCGGCGCATGACCTCGCGGTGGTATTCCTGTTGGCCGAACATCTCGTTGAAGAAGCTCTGGTCTGAGCCCTTGTGGCACTTGGGGAGATAGTACTTGTCGCCCTTTTGGTCGCCCTCGAGGCACTTGGCCATGTTGCGGTTGGCGCGCTGGAAGATGCGGCGCATGTCTTTGACAGGGCCAATGATAAAGCCCGACACGAGGTGGCGGGTGCGCAGGCCAGCCCACTGGGAAGGACCATCCATGGTATCGGTGACGGCACCGTAGATATCGTTGGGCAGAGGCGACTCGGGGACAGGGTAGCAAGCGACGCTGCGGATCTCGTTGGGTCCGCAGCGTTTGCTGGCCGAGAAGATGACCTTGGACGAGATCTTCTCACGGGTGAAAGCCTTGCCCATACGCTGGGCAATGCGCTTGTCTTCGGTGGCGCGCAGCGCGTGGTAGCGGTCGACGAGAGTTCCGGGGGCGGCTGGAACCTTATTTCATAGGTATTATCATGATGGACGAGATCGTCGTCGTGCTTCTTGTTCTTGGGGCCCTCAAGCCACTTCAGGGTGCCGGAGATCTTGGCGAGATGCGATCCCTTGCCGAGATATCTATCATCGTCGAACTTCTGATCCCACATGACAACGGTCGGGCGGGGGTATCCAAGAATGGTCTGAGCCAGCATGTTCTTGCAGAAGCGCGGGTCGCTCTTGGAGACGGGAATGACCATGTGCATGCGCTTAGGTTCCGCGATCGCGTCGCCGCCCTTGACGGTGCCTACGGGTTATCGTATCGACGTCGGTGGCCCATGGGTCCGTCGGACTCGCCAGGGAGCTGGTTTCTGAGTTCTGCTGTGAAGGGCGAGGCGGGGGGGTTAGTGCAGGCCTTGCAGGTATCACGATGAAGTCTGAGTCAAGGGCAAGAGAGGATTGCGAACATACAGGCTGACGGAGACGAGCAACATGTGACGAGAAGGCACCGATCAGATGAGCATTGCCTCGGCGCGCGTCGGAGTAGAGCGCAGCGTTGTGTGGCAGCTTCGAGTCGTCATCTTGATCCATGCTGGGTCGTCGTCCGGCAGGGAGGAGACGAGACGACGAGTACGAAGCAGCAGTCGACAGAATCACGACGCCGAGTACACGAGTGAGATCGTGAGTAGTTGACGAGTTCAGCCCCTGGATCTGTTGCTGACGGGCGTGGCTTCGTTATCTGCCAGGGTTTGGGCGTGACGAGTCGAATGGCGAAAAAGCCAAGGACGTCTTGCAGCGATGCCACGGAATCCTTTGGTGGTAGACCCAACTTGGCGACTTGGCTGACGAACCGCGCCGCACTTGCACATCCACCACCACACAGCACTTCCCACCCAGGCTGGAACAAGGCGGGATGGAGGCGTTCCTATTTGGCGGTAGACTTTTTTTCCTTTAGTGGCCCGTGGGGCATGGGGCAATTACAACCATGGCCTGTGTCCCCTCAAAGTTGAGGGGTCAGCTCGGTGCGAGACAGGCTGGTGGGTAAACGCGAAGGAGACGCAGGGGGGGGGGGGGCCGCGGGTGGCCCGAGTCAGCTCGATAGATTTGGCGTCATATTAGGGGCGTTTGACTTCCACTGGAGAGATGTGTCGCCAGATGAGGGGGGGGTCGAGTGTGTGGAAAGGGGGATAGAGCTGCCTGGAGCCCTACAACACTGGAGACTTGGAACAGGGTCAGCAGGCCAGCAGGTGACGGGGTTGGGCATTACGTGGGAGGCAAACCTTCGTCCGAGACAGGGACCCCTGGCGCTACCCATGGCAATCTCCACTGCTTGGAGGTGCCAGCTTACTCTCAGCGCTTGATCGCAACTAGCTTTAGGCGCCAGCAGGTCCAGAACGCGGACAACAGAGAAGAGACGAAAACCTGACGAACAGCTCGCGCGAGAAGAGAGAGGGGATGGTTCTGTTCTGGTTCTGTTCCCACTTCGACAGGTTCTTTGGGACGACCGACGGCTATGGACAGATGGTTCTTCCCGGTCCATGAAACCTACTGAGGGAGAGGATTGGGATCGATGGGCGACAAAGACGAATCGATGGCTCGATTAAGATTGGCTCCTTGGCTGATGTCTCGGCTGCCACGAGCAGGTGGATTGGTGCGAGATTGAGGAATCTGGTTGCTAAGGATTTGCCCCCACCTAGAAGGATGCACGTGCGGTGGGTGCCCTTTGTTCTGTCGCGTCACTACATTGCCTCTAGTACCTCAGTGTACCACGTGATGAGCGCTGCCACTCGCTACCGACCTATGTAGGCACCATGTACCTCGGTGGAAGGGTGCGCAGTGGCGCGATAAGCATCTCGATCGGCTTGGCGGGTACGGTAGGCCCGTAGCCAGGCCTGCCTCGCCAACTCGCCGACGTAGAGAGCACAGTTGGCAGTCCACACGCACTGTAACCCAACGCCTGCATCAGCCTTGCCACGGCATCAGCATCATCGCCATCATGACGCAGCCTCGATGCAGAGATGCCCAAACATCAACGCAGCGCCTTTCAAGTTTCTGCACCACCAATCCCAAGAACTGCTACCATCGTCGTCAGAGATGGGACCATTAGCAGGCGCCCCAGCCACGGTTCATCTCTGCAAAAAAAAAAAAAAAAAAAAAAAAGAAAGAAAGAATAAATAATGCTAACACGGCTATATATCGAATGGATAAAGTGCAGTTGCAATACACCCGATTAAAGAAACTGCTCCAGGACCAAACATTGACCGAGAAATGGCATCCACCAACCCATTCCGTGCTCCTCCGTCAATCATGCGACCGCTCCATCCGAATCTGAGCCCTACCGGTCATGGAAACCGGCCTCATGTCGCGGTGCAACGCAACGCCTTGTGCCTTGCTCCCAGCAACCGATATAGCAACGCCAGACCCCTGATCAGTACATGGCGTGTGAGTCGACTGGTTGAGGATTGTTATCACTAAAGGCAAAAGCCTGACCATCAGGTGTGAGTCGATTGTAGGATTGTCATGAAGGTCTTGGGGGTTCCTCACAATATGAAGCCTACACAGAGATTAAAAGGCTTCCTGCATGCGACGTCTTGCTCGCATGGAACTCGTGAATGGTTTTTGTGGAAGTGAACTACCTGTTGGACGTCGGCGCGAACATGAGGAAACACAGAGTTCACACCACACCGTGGCGTAACAGAGGTTTCCTGCTTCGAAACGCAAACCTCGTTGCTTGTCATACGAGGGTGATCGCCGTGTTCGGCTGCTGTACCCGAGCCGCATATATCGGCAGGGTTTTGTCTTTCTGACAAATTGGCTTCAGCGTACGATACCTTTGATATAACCCACCCACGACCGGAGCTTTGGAAAGATATACTGAATACCGGCCTCACTACTAGACCCGCGGCAGCGTTCACTGCCATGTTTCAGGCAGGGAGTCGTGACGAACAATTAGAATTTGACAGGGAAATATTCGTGCAAAGGGTGATTTTCTCAAATAATGTGGTGAAAGCAATGTCCTGCCCTGGTACTGATCTTTCCTCATCTTGCTTCCACTTGTCGCGGTGTAATACGGGAACGCCTTCGCAGCACATCCTGGCCTCGTTGTGGCCTCGTTTAATTGAAGTATATCTGACTGCTGGGTTCTCTGTTCCTCATGTGAAAGCTGTTATTTCTGTCGAGGCTTCTCCTACGTAAAGATAACCCCCAAAACAACATGACTGTTAAACCAATATTAGAGAATTCCCTAGGGCGGTGATCCCGATGGGGGATCACCGATACGGTGATCACCGTGGCCGCGGAGTCATAGCTCCCAGGAGCACGTGAATCACAGCTTACGTGATCGGCGAATCAAATGGGTATATCTAACTCACGGGGGTAGCGATAATTCATAGAGATAGTATCAATTACATCACAAGACTTATATCACCTACCCTACGTATTCAGAGCTCTCAGGCACAGCCAAAGCAATGAATCGGGGTTCACATAAGCAGTGAAGCCCTCTCAACAATAACTCAAGTTCCAGAATATTGTTTCAAATTGATAGTCGCAAAACTTAAACCTTGCAATGTTCGTCTCACAACGACTTTATATACGGGAGTTCTCTCGCGGCAATTCCTCCCCTGCCCCTCAACTTTTATTGCGGAATACAATGGCAGACTGTAGCTACTTTGCTAAAATTAAGCGTCGTCCCCTTTTGCGGTTCTTCTGCCGGAAATAAAAGTTCTATTATCGCTCATATTGAGGCTGGGTTGGTCTCCTGGACGACGGGCACTTTGCGCGCCCATATCTTTCCGACGACAATTCTCACTGCCGTGTGATGAGTAGCAAGGTCGGCTATGTAGCAGGGGCCGAGAAGACCATCACCCTAGCACCACTCGGGTGCCCACGGACAATCCTGTCAATACTGGAAGCCTACCTACACAGTGGCTTGTCTGACACAGAACGAGCACTAGACGAGCCCCTCGTTCTGCGGTTATCTCAGTCAATTGAGACGCGCCAACAAGCTCCCGGGAAGAGATTGCCATCACAAGCCCTTGTATGGAGTCCAAAACACACCCTCCGGATCCCATCTCTGCTTCGTCTTCCTCATGAGATCAATCTGCTCTGGCGAAAACATCTCTTCCCTCCTCGTTGCATCCGTCATATTATTGGGTGGAGTTCGTGGGG